ACAGTACTGCAATTAAAGTTTTCGCCCAAAGTCTTCAAATTAACAAAATGAAAGCCTTACTTAACACACCATTTGTTCCAACTTCGAATAGAATCTCAGTCTTGGAACTTTCCTTAAAAAACGTAGAACTTTGGTGGTTTGATCTGTAGTGCTCGATGGGTGAGTAGCATTATACATAATTTAATATAATTTATAATCAAACAAATGGGAACACCCTACAGTAATGGTCCCCCCCCCTTTAGTGGACCACCCCAGTCAGTCAGCCCACCACCTGCACACTTCAAGGTACTGTACTGGTGTCTTACCCTCACAGGCTTGACCCTATCATCGTGGTATCACTCAATATATTTGGGACGACGACGTAGCTGAACTGTCCAAGTAAAGCAGTACCGCTGTTCATCCAATACCTTGCCAGAAAGTGTGTGTGTGTGTGTGTGTGTGTGTGTGTGTGTGTGTGTGTGTGTGTGTGTGTGTGTGTGTGTGTGTGTGTGTGTGTGTGTGTGATTTACACTAAATCCTAGATTTACTCAAGATGTAACAAGGTCAACATGATAAACTTTTGGTGAAAATCGCGCCAAAATAGACCTAATGTTGTTATGGAACCTCTAGTAGGATTTTTGGGGGTTTAAAGAAAACGATAACATGAGACATTCCCTAACGGTGACTACATTAATCTACAGAAACAGTGTCACTAGTTCCCTGTTTACTCTACCATGGTAACGGCTGGCTGGCAGAGTTTACATCCCCTCGGTTGATGATTGTTTTGTATTATGATAGTAAACGACGTCCTTACTGAAACAGGCAAATATTTTATCATATAAAAAATAATTAATATTATGTAATAGCAATAACCGTATAAATAAAATTATCGTTGTTTAGCAACAATATCAGTTGTGTTTCAAGGTTTCATCGAACTATTATCTCGATCTAGTGTGGGATAAACACAAACGGATATAAATAATATAGTAATACCTATATTTGTAAACGTAGATTTTCTTTGCACAAAAAATCACAGATGATACAGAGTTCATATATTATGTAATTACAATTAGGCAACAGAATCTTCATCAGAGCGCTGGGATACTTCCGTGTTTCTGTTTACTAGTGGTTCTTGTTATACTATATTATGCTACACTACAAAATATATATATATATATATATATATATATATATATATATATATATATATATATATATATATATATATATATATATATATATATATATATATATCCTTCTATTCTGAACGAATCCGTAAAAATACGAAATGTTTAAAACTAGTCTTTTCGTTTTTCTCTTTACCTTCGAGTAAATATACAATTTTTAGGGATGCTTTTATATTTCATCAGAGTGTCGTATTTACTTTCCTTTGTATTTTTCTTATTTTACTGCCCGTGTTCTCTTGATATATCTTTTTCTATTACTTTTTTTACTGCTCTCTGCCTTCCACGGCCACATTTATTTTGACCTCCGTTTTTTTTTATCGCCATTTCTCTCCGTGTTCACTTTTATTCATTTCTCTTCTTTTTGGGGAGGTAAACAGAACTGACAACAGCGTCACTTCTGTACCTCTCTCTCCTTTACAACTCAATAAAAACATGAACAAACACACACAAACATACACAGACAAACTGTTGAATGTTATACGTTGAATTTAGTGTGCAAATAAACTTCATCCATACATGCATAACGTGTGTATACAGTATATAAACAGTTTTGTGCAAAGTGTGTGTGTATGTGTGTGTGTGTGTGTGTGTGTGTGTGTGTGTGTGTAGATATGAAGGAAATGAGTGTGTATTTGGTATGAATGTGTATTCGCTCGAATACACTGGGGATGGATTATAACGATGGTATAATATGTGATATATACACTCACCTATTATATGATCATACACGGAAATACGTACAGGTATTCGGAAGCACAGGACTCTAGTGAAACTATAATGAAGCAAACATGTTTTTATGTAACGCACCCTCCATACACACACAGACACACACACACACACACACACACACACACACACACACACACACACACACACACACACACACACACACACACACACACACACACACACACACACACACCCACACACACACACACACACACACACACACACAGTCATTCATCATTTACACACTCTTCTTCAATAACAGGTCAAAGGTCAAAGGTTGCAGGCTGGAGTTCAAGAAAGAGACAGGGTGTAAGTGAGATCAGAGTAGTACCGCCCTGGGCAACACCCTACCTCTCGAATTAGTTCCTCAAGGCTCAAGGATGGATGTGGGGGGTGAGAGATGTGGGGGTGAGTGGTGGGGGGTGGGAGGGTGGGGTGAGGGTGGGGTGAGGGTGGGGGACGGTGAGTGGTGGAATTAAGGATGAGGGGTGAAGAGGGAGGTTAATAGGAGAGGTAAAGTAAGGAGAGAAAGAGGACGAAAAAAAAAGAGAAAATGTGGAATGGGGGGGGTGATGGTAGGGATTGTGGTGGTGGAGGAGGAGGAGGAGGAGGAGGAGGAGGTGGTGAAGGAGGAGGAGGAGAAGGAGGTGGCGCTGATGGTAGGAAGAGGAAGAAACGGGGGTGGTGGAGGAGGTTATCAACTTCCGAAATACTCTGTCAGCGGGCCAGGGTGTTCCTCAGTGTTGGGCCACACGGAAGAGAGAATCGACGTATAAGATAATTCTCATAACATTCTCATCAATTTTTCTCAACATATGGCGGACAACGATTTAATATACTTTTAATAAACAGAGACTATTCTTATTTTTTTATATATACTGAGATGACAATTACACATGGGGTATTATTAAACACAGTAGTAAGTAGTTATATCTTACTGGAATATACTGGTTATCTAATAGAAATATACGCAGTGATGCTCGAAGCTGGTAACTAGACTCATTCTCCTGTCAACATATAATCATTGAGTTAGACCAATGCCTGACACTGTCCAAGCTGTCAATGTTTTACTAAGGGGGTTTCACTAAAAATATATTCCTTTTTTACATTACCAGCAACACAGGAAAAATAGTTGGTGGCGTTTATCTCCTCCTCTCTGGGGGGTTGTGGGCCCGAGGGCGTGAGTGAGGTCTGTACTGGTGGTTAGGTTAGGTAATTCCCTTAGCTCACAGGTCATAACACACGTTATAAATAGCAGAATAAACGGGTCAATTTCGCCGTGTGCCGTGTTGTAATGTTCACCCTTGTACCCACGCCAGTATCTCAAGCAGGTGTTCACTGGACAGTCGTGATTCCAGTCATGATTTCACGAACATCATCCCGGGTAATGTGTTATAAGTTCTCACAAATACTGTAATAAATCTAACCCTGAACCTCCTCAAGTCTCTTCAACATGGGTGGAGTGAAGAACAACGAGGTGACTTGTTTTAAAGTTAAGGGATCATTGGTCTGGTGGTCATATATAACAAGGGAACGCGTTTATATCAGTGTCAACATTGTCTTCAGGTATGTGGAAGTCTGACCATATTTTCATTAAACTCCACCAGCAACACCTCTAAGGCCTCAGAAGATGATGAACCTTAATTTCTTTACTTTGTGACTCATTGTTTCAGCGTGATAAGACCGGCGTGTTTTCCCTCGTCGACTTTGTGAAGAAACGAATTTTGGTCTTAAATAATTTCGCATATGAAAACATGTGAGGTACGGGCTTAATGAAGTTTAGATTTTAATGAAACTAAGTTAGGTGGTTTGGTTTGGTTAGGTTAGGTTAGGTTCATGTTGCATTGTTGTTAGTTGACCTGCCAGCCGGGCTGACGCTGGCCGTTATGTATCGTGTTACAGGCAGGACCCGACCTGAGGTTCACGGTTTGTGGACCGCTGAATTATAATTAAAATGCACACACACACACACACACACACACATGGCAGTACTGTACACACATACACACACAAGTGAGAGGGGATTGGAGTGTAATATTGTATTATGTTCATAAACTATATGAAAAATACAACGCCAATACTGTATGCATACATACATACATACATACATACATGCATACATACATGCATACATACATACATGTATACATGCATACATACATATATACATACATACATACATACATACAACCATAATATACATTTTATACGGTACGTTAATTAGGGCTGATCACCGATTAATCTCATACTGCTGCATATTATTCCTCAGGTTTTATACAAGCTACGAACAACAGCCCCAGCAAAAGTGGGATTCGTAGTTGACCTTTGAATTTATACAACCAAATGACAACTGATGAATAAATATTGACATTGTTTTATTTTAAATCTGTGGGAGAGGATTTTTATTTTAAAAACTGTAGAGCTCTCAGAATCGAGTTCCTTTTTTTCCAAGTACTGAAAGGTATCTTTTTCCTTTTATGAAACCTGCAGCTCTCACACTTTTTGCCACTGTTCTTCAGTTGCAGCTTTTCCAATATCATCAAAAAATTTCATTCTTCCAATAATTTATGGAGTTAGAATATGTTTCATACACTCACCAGGTTTTCATTTACAAATAAACAAACATGAAATTTCTCTTTTTATGAGTTTGATCAATTCTTATGAAGTAATTTCGTTCCTGCGGTGTCCATTGATGATGATTGTAAACCAGTTCTCATTCAGAGTATAACAAGACGGAGTAAAGGAAGGAGAGACAGCGATAGATATACAAAGGGAATCAGAGGTGTAGAGAACGACACTTGTAAATGAAGTTATCAACACCTCAATATATACTTATACAAAAGACGTAACATTGTGTTGGTACCAAACATCTCTTGTTGGACACCCACCTACTGACCCCATCCACCCATCACTCCTCCCATCCACCCATCACCCCATCCACTAATCGCCCCCTTCCACCTCTCATCCCCCCACCAGTGAGCCTAAAACATGACTCGACACCCTCACGCACTGGAGTCCTTTCATTCTTCCAGTAAAATTACCTTCTTCGCAAGCATCATGTCTTTACGTCTCAAAGTTTCTTAATCTAATCTCGTCTCCTTTCAGAGTTGAGCCGTTCTTCGTACAGGTGGGCGGACACTGGGGACAAGGTGACGTGAAGGACCCTAAAGGAGCCTGATAATGACCTACGCTGAAGGAGCTGTCTGTACTGGGAATTCCCACTGATCTCACCATAAGATTAAGGGAAGAGAAAATAACAGGAAAATCTGGACAGGAACAAAAAACCTCTTGGGGGATTTTTAAGATTTTTTTTTCTTGGGAGATCAAAAGAAATTCAGCAGAAAAGAAAGACAAAGACAAAGGGAGAGAAAGAGAGAGAGAGAAAGAAAGAGAAAACCTTAATTTTCTTTAATATTCTCTCTTAGACTATAGTAAACTGAACTGATATAATAAACATAAACTTTCATAAATGCCATTATAGTGATTTTTTAAGAAAGATAAACAATTAGTACCGAAAAAAATCTCATAGTAAGTTTTCTGTGACGGGGAAAATTGAACAGATCTAAGCAGTAAAACCCGAAAAAAATTGATCTAGTGATTTTCTGTAACTTTAAGAAAAAATTTGATAAACATAAGCAGAAAAAAACACTTATATATACCTATTGAATTTAGAACTATATAAACAAACAAAAAACGGTTCCTCCATAGAAAAGTAAATACATAAGAATAAAGTCTATTTTCCAGTTATTTTTTTATTTGTGATTATTTTTTTTAATCAAGAAGAAAACAAACTAATCTTTCGAAAAACCAAGAACGACGTGAATCTTTACAGGTGGTGTATGAGAGAATATATACGTTGGTGTATCATGATGAGATAATGGAGGAAAAATCATACCAAGGAACATCATCATGGGAACCAACAAAGAACCTCCCCTCAGTGTGGTTTCTTTAAGGCACCGACTCTGAAACTCAACACAGGGGAGAGTGATTAACGGAGAGTGGAGACGAGTGAGGCTCCAATTACTAACAACACACATCAGTCCTGACGCCAGAAATTCCCAGAAAGATGACCCTTACATCCTTACTCGTGCTGATGGTCACTGTACTCCTCACGCTCGCCACGGAAGGTAAGTATCTCTCTTTTATATGGGTAATTTTTGTCTTTATTTGGCATGGGAAGGTGTTTATGGATAATTTCTCCTTTTTTTTGACATAGGAAAGTGTTATTTTCTTTCTATGGTTAAATTCCATCTTTCGCCAAACAACCTTCCCATGCCCTACAGTAAACTACGCGTTGCAACTATACTGCCAGGTGCTTCATACACTGGAGTAGGTAAGAACAGTTACTGCTTTAACTTAACCAGCATCCTCGTGTAATGCCTTAAGACGGACCAAAGGACAGCATGAGCCCACTTGCTCGGCGCACACACACACACACACACACACACACACACACACACACACACACACACACACACACACACACACACACACACACACACACACACACACACACACACACACACACACACACAAAGAACCATCGGAAACCAGATCATCCGGGAGACAGAAAACTGATACCATGACTTTAATGGCTCATGTTTTGTGGCATCATGCATCTTGTCTGTCAATTAGGAAGATATCTTTATCCTTGTGATTATATTACAGTCTCCAAACACGGCGAAGCTGATGCCATCTGGAGGGTAAAACCTTTTCATATGGTGCACGAGCCCGAAAAAGTAAACAAAGTTATTTAAATCGGATTGTATTACCTTTGTTACCCATATTTATGTAAGGAAAAAATAGAAGTTGTTAGTAATAGTATGGTAGAGAGGTAGTTTGCATGAATAGTATATATATCTAATGTATTGTTGGCCATATTAACTCAATGCTGGCTTGTCAACGAAGAATGTTCACTATAAATACATCTAATGGCCTTCACAAGCTAACGTCAACACTACTACATGACAACGGAACTAGTAACGAGACAAAAAAAAATCACAGAAAAAAAAAAGTACCACCTCCTTCAGTACTACATGGACTACAATACTTACTTCCTGCGTGAATAAAATATCAACAAATCAATCAATCAATCAATCATACAATCAATATACGAGGGTTGGCGACCACAGTCCACTAATCAAAGCGTTCTCAACAAACACTGACGCTTCTTTAATCCATCACAAGTACACACTAACACACAGACGGGTTAAAGACATCACTCAATGATAAGATACTCCTAAATATCCCTGACTGTGGAAAAACAACTGTGCAGGGGAAACAAGGGAAGTGAACTGAGGAAGACTGGTAAGATACTCCTGAATATCTCTCACTGTGGAAGAAGAACTAGGCAGAGGAAACAAGGGAGGTGAACTGAGGAAGAATGGTAAGATACTCCTGAATATCTCTCACTGTGGAAGAAGAACTAGGCAGAGGAAACAAGGGAAGTGAATTGAGGAGGAAAATCTCACTCATGTATCAACTGGGAGGACAAAAGAAATAAATAGCCGTGTAGGTTCAAGACGTGTACAAGACTGGTTGTTCCACTCTGGGTCAATGGTGGTATTTCTGTTTGGTTCCAGTTTTATTGTATTTGTTTTAGTGTTTTTGTTGTATTTGTTGTTTCTCTCGACTTTTATTCAATTTATTTGTTTCTCTTGAATTTTACTGTAATTGTCTCTTCCTTTTTACTTTAAATTATGGATGGAGAGAACGAGAGACAAATTAAAAAAGAATAAGGAAAGGGACTGAGGAGGAGGATAAGGAGGAAGAGAAGGAGGAGAGGAGGAGAAAAAAAAAGAGTAGACTATTAACTGTGGAGAAGGATGAGGAGGAAAGAAAAGGAAAAAGATTAGAGGAATAAGATGAAAGAAAATAACAAATCAAAATAATTGAAGAAGAGAACACGCCAGCCCACGATACGAGTATTTCTTGTTGATCATTATGTTCCTCTCTCTCTCTCTCTCTCTCTCTCTCTCTCTCTCTCTCTCTCTCTCTTTTTTATTTGCCTCGTTGTCTAATTATCTGACTGTCTGTTACACATTTCTCTTCCTCTTTCTCACTAGATCTCTTTCCCATTCTTTCTCTTTTTCCTTTTCAATATTTTACTGTTTACTACCAGCAATCTCTCTCTCTCTCTCTTTTGTTAATTTATCTACTTCTTTTTATTTGTCTTTCCTCCTTCTCTCCCCCTGTAATTCAATTTCTCACTCCCTCATCTTCTTTCTCTCCCTCCCTTCCAAACTTATTCATCCTTTCTTCCTCTCTAAACAACTATATCTCTCCCTCCCTGACTAACTCTCTCTCTCTCTCATTTTCTTTCCCTAACCCACTCTCTCACTCGCCCTCCTTCCCTCCTCCCCATCCCCCCCACACACACACACACACACACACACACACACACACACACACACACACACACACACACACACACACACACACACACACCCTCCCCAAGCCACGCACCCAACCCAACAGTCTAAAGCCTTCAGAGTGCCAGCACCCCGTCATCAACTCGAGACGAACGCCAAAAAAAATATATATATGTATAAAAAAAAAAAAAATAAAATAAAATAATAAAAAATAAATACAAATAAAAAGGCGAATAAAACACATATCTTTGGATCTCCTTCCCCAACTTTTTTTTACAGCAATCAAGTCGTTGTTATTGCAAAAGACAGAGGCGTATTGAACAATTTTCACTTGTTTTTGTTGATTGTTTGTGCGGGTTAATTTTTTCTTACCTGGAGAGAACTACATCCCATGGCTGCTAATTAAGTCAACATTTGCAGGTGGAAAAACAGATTGCGTGTTTTCTGATTGTGAAAAAAAAGTTATAAAGGAGAAAGAGAAAAGAGTAAAATGTAGAGAGAGAGAGAGAGAGAGAGAGAGAGAGAGAGAGAGAGAGAGAGAGAGAGAGAGAGAGAGAGAGAGAGAGGTAAATTCTACCCTCTGATCTTTCAACGGGACATGTTTACCACCAGAACCAAAACAACATCGCCAGCACGAACAGTTAACATCACCAGGCGTCCAGTATTTCCACTCTAGACAGATAACATGATGTCTCCTACTTTCTGCCACCGAGGATAATCAAGAACACCTTCCTGGTTTCCCCCTCAAACCTACGCCAGGCAAACGTATACTCGCCTCTTAACCAACCTGGCTTTTCCTTATGGTCGAAGCATATACCCAAGAATAAAGGTCCAGCCGTGTCTATTACTTGTGACGTAATTTATGTTGACATTAGAGTATTACTTCAAGTAAAACGCAACAATTAGCGAGTAGGTTGATTGATAGTAATATTTGGGGGCGATGTTTGCGATGTATTTTGGGAAGAACGGACTGATTGACTAACGGGCGGACTGACTGTCTGACTGAAAGACTGACTGACTGAAAGACTGATTGACTGAAAGACAGACGAATGGACTGACAAACGGACTGAAGGATAGCCGATAAAGGCATCAGTAAGGCACTTTTGTTTACATTAATACGTAAATTAGTCATCAAAAGAGTAATTAATACACTTCTGCTGTTGTTATTACCTGGATAAATATTTGTACCTCTCATACAAAAGTGAATTTCGAACAAGAGACTTAATCACACTGAAAGACAGACATACAGACAGTCACCACAAAAAAAAATTGACGGGCGCATTCTCTTTATAGTGTCTCATCTCGGCATAGTCACTGTAGTGAGACATATTGACACATATTTATAAGTACTTACATATAATTCTCATTATTTGCCTATAATTCTCAGTACGGGCACCTAATTCTCATTCTGGACATAATTCTCAGCACTGATATACAGTACGTATATATAATTCTCAGTGACATCACACAATTCTCAGCTTGGACACACAATCCTCAGCATTCATACTACTCAAAATTCAATAATTCTCGTTCTTCACAACATTACACAAGTCAGTAAACATCCTGTAAAATTCTCCATAAAAAATTCCCGGTATTTTCAACGTCAGACGGATGAATAAACCAACAAATATGTTTTAGATCGACACAGTTCGTTTCTTTAGTTAGTTTATCTGTCAATAAGTTTTCATAAAGGTTCAACATTTGTATTGATTCGTTTTAATTCAAACTTCCTTTGAACATTTAAATGGGACCAGTAATTGCTTTCTTGTTTTTTACCGAGTTTGTTGACGTGTGTGTGTGTGTGTACTGTATGTGTGTGTGTGTGTGTACTGTATGTGTGTGTGTGTGTGTAGGAGCGGTGAGGGAGAACTCAGTGACTTTTTCCCGCCAAGAAATAGGACAAAATATAACCCAATTGTCGCCACAAAAAGCTTCCCTAATTGGTGGCCAAAAGGCTTCAATTCTCGGGATAAATTCGATTGCTGGTGTTTAATCCGATGCGATCTTTTTTAATAGGAAATCAGACCACAACAGTGTTCCCCCCTTTCCAGCACACACACACACACACACACACACACACACACACACACACACACACACACACACCTAGATAAAGATCTCTCAAGACAAATTGCCTCAATACACGCTAATTAAACAGACAAATTATGATCAAAATAGACCCACTAATTTGATTTTCTATGAACATATTGGCGACGGTAATTGGGTCACCTATTTTACCTGTATTTGGGCTGATTGAAGGATGGGGGCTGATTGAAGGCTACAGATGAGGTATTAAATCAGTAACTTCAAATTACGATGATAAAATTG